GATGAATTTTTTAAGCGTTACCTGACGTTTGTGGGAATTTCGTCTCAAACTGTTTATATTTGCTCACTGAGAAATTGTAGTGGGAGGAGTATAATCGGGATTAAAATTTGTTGTCATTAAATTGGGTGATATGATTTTTACCTGAAATGCAGTATAATGGAAGGAAAAATTTCTGGGTTTTTATAGATCATTTTTTTCCCTCTGTATTTTAATGGGAGTTAGTTTTGGGATTATCTTTTTTGATTTTTTTCTATCTTCCAGTTACGTGTTTAGACATGGATGTTTACACGTCTGTGAGTACTTGTCCAACATTTTTGGGAATTTCAACTCAAACTGTTAATATTTGTCTGCTGAGAAATGTACCGTAGAACCAGTAAAAGAGTAAAAATCTGGTTGAAGATCGTGGACTTTGTTTGAATTAGCATTATATTGCTTCGTTGAAAATTCTGTAAAATGGTATGGTGAAAGGAGTTGGAATTCTGGGTTTATAGATCATTTTTCTAATTTTTTGCCTTTTCTGGGTAAGTGGGTTTAGATTCATCGAGTTAAAAAATTGTTATTCTGTATTCCTATCCTCTTTTGGAATTCTTAACTTGGCAAAAAATTTGGAAGCTACAGAAAGTATGTTATGGGAATACATTTTTATCTATTTAGTTTATCTTTATTTACTAGATCAATTTAGTTGGACTTCAAAGGTAATATTGATTGCTATTTTATGTTGTATTATTGTTTTAAATCTCATTATTGCCCTGTCAAGGTCTAGCTTAAGGATATAACAGACCACTTATATTTTAGGTGTCTACTTAATTTTTTTTTTCTTTTTCTTGGATTAAGGTTCAGATTTAATATTTAGTTATGTGGATGAGTGACTAAAATTTCACATTTTTTTTTACGTTTAGTTTATGTTGGCATCTTTAATGCATTTTTTAAGACGTGTGTGTGCGCTCACTATTGTGCATTCATGTGCTCATAGCAGGAGTATGTATGTATAAAATAGCTGCAGGCATCTTCTATCATGTTTTGTTCAGCTGTGGATAATTATTAACTTGGTTGGAATATTCACAATCAATGGCTCTTAACTAAGTGATAATGTGTTCATGTCAGGCCTTTGTCAAAGCTCAAAAGTCGAGGGCATACTTCAAAAGGTTTCAGGTCAAGTATAAGAGAAGGAGAGGTAAAGTATAAGCTTTCTGTTCTGAATTTTATGCGCTATAGATCTTTGATGTAATATTTAATGAATTCATAGTGTATTGTTCTATTGAGTGATGTTTTTTTTTTTGTCAAAATGCAGAGGGGAAAACTGATTATAGAGCAAGGATTCGCCTAATCAATCAGGACAAGAACAAGTACAACACTCCAAAGTACCGATTTGTCGTGCGATTTGTATCCTTGTAATTTGTATCTACTAAGCCCCTGTTTTGTAGGGATTAAAATTAGATTTTGATAAAAGTTGATGAAACGTGTGGTTGAAAAGTTGTTGATGTCATAAAATATGTGGTTAAAATTATTTGTTGACTTTAATTTAGATTAAAGTTTGAATTTTAATTTTACCAAATAGGGACTAAATGGCAGTTTTTATTTATTTAAGAGGTTCTTTTACTTTGCAATGGTAGGTATGGATCCTAATATTTTATTTCTACCTGGGTTATTCAATTACTCTTCTATCCTTGTTCTTAATGAAGAAAAAAATATCAGATATTTTTATACTTTATTTAATGTTGAGAACCTTAATGCCATTATAGACCAATCAGGATATTATTGCCCAAATAGTATCTGCTAGTATAGCTGGAGATATTGTTATGGCTGCTGCATATTCCCATGAGTTGCCTCGCTATGGACTTGAAGTAGGTCTCACAAATTATGCTGCAGGTATCACAACGATGTCTCTCCCTCCCTTGAACCCCGTTCACTCTCGTCCCCCGAAGAAGGCTACCTCTCCTATATCCCTTTAGTTGATTTTTTAATCTGTTTGATGGGATATTAATTTCGATCCTGTGATCAGCTTACTGCACGGGGCTTCTTTTGGCTCGTCGTGTCTTGAAAACGCTTGAGATGGATAACGAGTATGAAGGCAATGTGGAGGTACTGCCGATGCATTTTAATCTTAATATCTTCATTATTGCGTTGTAATTCCTGTCTGTCTTCTTCTGAGATCTTTTGTGTTGTTAGGCAACTGGAGAGGATTACTCAGTTGAGCCAGCAGAGAGCAGAAGGCCTTTCCGTGCTCTTCTTGATGTAGGACTTATTAGAACAACTACTGGGAATCGTGTTTTTGGTGCTTTGAAGGTATATCCGAAGCATTTTCTTATGTGGTTTATATATTATTTCTCCTGTGTTATACGCAATATTTACTCAATGACGTGCCTTTATCTGCAGCATATCTTCTTGATGACATATTCCCTTGTGGCTCCATAATTTTTATAGCTGTGGGGTAAATATATCTCTGTTTGATCTGGCTTACTAATCATGCTAAAAAGTGGCACTTCACTTTTTACAACACAACAGAGACTTGAATGATTTCTTAATGGTGACAATGTAATCGGGTTACTAATCAGCGGTTTTATTTTACTAAACTTCACACTTGAATTTCATCAATATATTCCGGTTCCTATTAGCTGAGTTTGTTTCTCCATTTCTTAAAATTAAGATAGGGGGTACTTTCATACGCTCCTAATAATTCCTATTGGATTTTCCTGTGTTATTGCTTTCTTCCCATACTCTCGGTATCCTATAATTCCCTTGTAATCCTGTGAATCTAGAAGTAGCTCGTCTTGTTTGCTTCTTTGCAAATCAGTCTATTATGAGAATTTCAGGTTATTGACCCTTTCAACTTGATTTTAATTTTCTGATTTGAGTATATGAAAGCTGAAATGGAGGCTAAATATCTGTCTTCGATCACCAGTATACTTTATTTCATTGAAGAATACAATTATGAATGGGAAAAAAGATATGTAGAGTGAAGATTATTAGATTTGCTTACATTTTAAGGAGTTGATGGTTTCAAACTGCTTGATTATGTGGCTGACCTATTAACGACGTGTGATGCCTAGGGATTATCTGTTCTCTAGATGTAACACGGCTCAAAGAACTGTCTGCACTTTTGGTGCATACATCCATGTTGAATGTAATGTTTTTTGTTACTAATTACAGGGAGCACTTGATGGAGGATTAGATGTTCCCCACAGTGACAAGAGGTTTGCTGGATTTTCGAAGGATTCTAAGCAACTTGATGCTGAGGTTCACAGGAAATACATTTATGGTGGCCACATTGCTGCATACATGACGGTGATGTCAAATTTCTGATTTTTCACTGAACTATGACTAGGGGTGGCAATCAGCTCAGCCCGAGCTCGTGCTCGTCATGAGCCCGGCGAGCTCGGCTAGGCCCTGGAGCTCGCGGTTCGAGCAGAGCTTCGGCTCGAGAGCTCTCTTTTTTTAAAAAAAATTAAACTCTCCTTTATCCGAGTTTGGGACCGACTACTTAAATTTCGAGTTTGCGGAGTTAAAAATTGTACACGAATTTGTTTCATGTAAAAAAATTTTAAAAATTAAAAAAAGTATCATAAAATAACAAAATTTGATTAATATTGTTAAATTAAATATCACTTACGTAAAGAGATGTAATTTCGACCATGTTGCAGTATGAAATAAACGTCTTCCCAATCCTTCACTCATATTAATGCTTCCAAAATATCTTCTTTGAGTGGGCTCTTGACCTCGGACAAAATTCTCTTACCTACACTAAAAGCAGACTTCGAAGCTATAGTGCTAACCGGTTGTGTTAGTAGGTCTTTTGCAATCGTAGAAAACACTGGCATCGTTGTTCGTACTTTCGCGAGAATTCAATTGCTCCTTCTGAATTTTTTTTAATTGTTTTGTTATTAGGCATATTATAATTAAAGTAATCAATTAATTCAGCAAGCAATACATTTGGACTTAATTTTGTTATTTTATGATTTTTTTTTAATTTTTAATTTTTTTTTTTTACATGAAACAAGTGGTTTGTGTGCAATTTTTAACTCCTCCTACTCGAAATTTAAGTAGCCGGTCACAAGTTCGGATAAAGGAGGAGTGTTTAAATTAAATTTTTTTTTTTAAAAAAAGAGAGCTCTCAAGCCGAAGCTCGCCCTCGAGCTCAGCCCTCGTCTCGTTACAGACAAGCTCGTGCTAACTAGGGCCAAGCTGTGCCACCCCTAACTATGACTGGCGCGTGTTTGGGTTTCCATACAAGTAACTTGTAAGTTCAAGTCAAAGTTAAACTTTAATTTTAACTACACATTCACAACTACTATTCACTTATTATTCATACATTTTGGGGGACCCAATTCTCCTCTCATGGTAATATCATAATAAGTTACTTATAAAGAAACCCGAACACACTTTAAAAATTACATGATTAAAGAAAGGAAATCTGACTTCCTCTATTTGTGTAATGTGTTAAATATTTCCAGACCTTGATAGAAGATGAGCCAGAAAAGTACCAATCACACTTCAGTGAGTATATCAAGAAAGGACTTGAGCCTGATGGCCTCGAGGAACTTTACAAGAAAGTCCATGAGGCCATCCGTGCTGACCCGACTCTGAAGAAATCTGAGAAACAGCCACCTAAGGAACACAAGAGGTATGGAAATAGATTTACGATTTAATTTAACCCATTTTTTTCAAAGTTGTCTTGAATTACAATGATTCTTATTTACAAATGTCAGTTGCCCTGTTCATGTCTATTATTTCTTTAGTGGCGTATGTGTAATTATTCCTGTTTTGTTACCCAGATACAACTTGAAGAAGCTCACCTACGAAGAGAGGAAGGCCCGTTTGATTGAACGATTGAATGCTCTCAATGCTGCAGCCGGAGATGAAGATGACGATGATGAGTGAAAGTTCTAGAACATAATTTCTTTAGCAATTTTGTTTTCCGCAACTGAAACAGTTGTTTTTGTTGATTCTTTCCTGTTTTACCATTTTTTTGCAGCTTTGTTGGCCTTTTTAGTCGAAATTTGTAGTTGGAATTTATTTGAAATGAAATGGAATTTACATAATTTAGTCATTTTTGCTTCTAATATGGTTTTACCTAGTAGTATGCCAATTGACAATAGTTTATTCCCTTAAGTTTCTTCTGTCCACCAGTACAATGGCTTTTACAGTCTCAAATTTCCCAATTTCTTTCAACTCAACAAGATTGTTTTAAAATAATTACTTCTTTTTTTTTTGACAAAATAGGCATCGGAGTAGATTCTGGATACTGTTTATAATGGCTTCTGTGCGAATATACCTGAGTTTCTTATAAAGCTGTGGATAAATGTTGGGATTCATTTGTTTGCTATATATGAGTAGGGTCCACTAAAGTGAGACCTTATCAAGAAACAGCCAATGAAATCTTCAACATCATTCTAAAGGGGGGTTAACACTATCCATATATGATTGTTTTTGGGGCACTTAAAAATGTCAATTCATTCCAAAATTAAACATTAAGAACGAGTGATATGGCAATGATGAGCCATTTATTAGTCCCTGCAGCACCATCCACAGCAAAACCAGTGCCTTTGATATCGAGGAAGATGACTCCTTCGCCATTCCCCGTCGTCCACAAGGCAGGGGCATATAGTCGCGGTTTCAATGAAGTCCCAGAAGAAAAACAAGTTAGACGCAGGTACGTTCCTTGATGATGCCCTCGTGTACACGTCATTCTACAATTGAGCCTTGTACTTACATATATGCGTGTGGCATGAATGTACACTGATGCCTTCACATAAGCACATGGTATCTTTTTTAGTTTATCGTATATTTTATACAGTTCTATGATTCGGAGTATCCTTTCTTATTTGATCTCTTTGAAAGCATGTGAAGTGTGTTATTTAGTTGGCCGTAATAGCGTGAAGTGTGCAATGCAGGGGTGTATTACTAGGCTTGATTGGTGTAGCTTTGGTTATGAATGGTGGTGCTAGGGATGCTAGGGGTGCAGCTAGAAGGCCACCACCACCACCAGCAGAAGAGAAAAAGGACCCAAATGTAAGTGGCTTAACTGCAAAAATTTTGGCCAGCAAAAAGAGAAAGGAGGCCATGAAAGAATCCATTGCCAAGCTAAAAGAAAGTGGAAAGCCCATTAAAGAGCCCTCTCAATGAGGCTATCTTTTACATTGACAATCAAGGTTTTGAGAAATTATTGTTTCATATTGTGCAAACTTTTCAAGTGTCACATTTTATTTTCCTTTATTTGTTGTTGTATTATAACTTATTTATTAGTTAGGTAGAGGCGAGGGTTGACTAAAACTAAATTACAATGCTTTGGTGTATATTGTATATGTCCTCGAAGTTTGTATGGCAATAAGGACATCATTGATATGAGATGGTTGCGATGGCTCCATTGACACGATGAAGAAGAACCAACTAATTGGAACCGCCTTCGTTCGACTGAAATTGTTATATCTTTACATATGACTTGGGATATGCCTTAAATTTTGTTTACATTTTCAAAAGATGTTACATGTTAAGTACAATACTACATAAGACGACGTACATTTCTACATATCAAATATGCTTTGAAATAACATAAAACAGCAAAAAGTGTAACCTCGAAGGATTACTTCGAGTCAATTTGGTGCTTTAAAGTTAATTATGTTGCTTTTCTATAATTGAAACAAATTCCATATAGCGATATCCGAGATTTTAAGTGTTTTTAAGGTTGCTCTTTCCTTTGGATTTTCAAGTGCCAAAGATTCGATTGGATTCAAGGTGTAAGAGTAAGTCGAGTCGTTCGATCCCAACATGAAAATGGTCTGACTGGTTGGCCAGACACCTAACTTATTGTGACTATGAATGAGAAGTATTGTTATATCAATATGCTTCGAACTTGAATTGAGTGTCATTATGTCCAAAAATTGAAACTTAGACAAGAAAACTTTACTTGATTTACATACACAATACAATTAGAATAATGCGATTTGATGTACTGGTGCTACAATATCAATCTATATATTTTAACCGATAAATTCAATTAAAAGTGGAAATATGAGACTATAGTAGTTTTATTTATTTCCATTAGAGATGTTTACTTTATGATGTGACATTAAATGATAAGAATAATAAAGTGAATCTTATAATTATATATTTAATGAACCTTATCATTTGTCACATCACATTACATCGTTTGTCACATCACATCAGGATAATCTTGAGTTTGTAAATATAACGTTATTGTGCTAAATAACATTAAATTTACAATTTTGGTAAATTTAGGTACTCATATTTTCATTATTATGAATGTTATATGGAGTAAACTCGATCCTATAAATGAATAAAACAAATTAAAATCTCATCCATTATGCTATGAATATGTCACAAGTCTTTATTATGAAATTGAAATGAAGATTTCCTGTGAGTTTCTTTGGTACTAATTTATCATCAAGAATTTCCATGCCTTTGCACATTGAGCCACGACATCTGAGAACATCAAGAGAAGTATTCTAGGCACATATTTGGTATTTTGTACTCGACCTTTCAAAGTTCAGAAGGCTCAATTGGGAGGGGAAATGCCACTTGTACTCTCATTCTTGATATGATTGTTGACATTATGTGTATTGATAAGTATTGATTGAGTGAAAAAACTGCCAAAAATTTAAACTATCCAATAATATGTTGTCACAAACATAATATAGAAGATGATATATATGTAACACGATTGATTGGGAGAGGCAACACAATGAAAGATAAATAACAAAATAAAAATAAAAAATGCTTATGAAGCAAAATAATTAAATTAAATAATTAAATATAAACAATCCTGAAGCAAAGAAGCAAAATAATTAAATTAAGAGTCTGATTAGATATAAACAATCCTGAAGCAAAATAATTAAATTAAGAGTTTGAATTTCAAATGAATAGTCATTCAATCATGCTTGATGCATAGAATTATTCACCCACTTTCTTTGACAAAATGTCATGGATTACTTAAAAAATAGTCAATTTTTGTACCAAATCATCTGTTGTCAACACTACATCTGTCAACCAGATGCACGATTTTTTTTTTTTAGTAAAAAATGACCGAATCCATAATTATTGTACTTGAATCAAATCTGACAGTTAGATTGAAAACCCAGCTAATCAGACTGGCTCAGTCCAAGTTGCATCAACTGATCGTTAAACCAAAGAGTTGATCAATGAAAGCTTAAATCGATCAACCCGACAGCTTGGCTGATTTATGTATAAATCCAAAATCGATTCAACAAAACTAGTTTGCTGTAGTGCATATTGGGATTAAAATTTTAATAATTATATCTTAATTGGAAGGTTTAGATGATTATTTATGACCAATTTATAGCAGAATTTTAAAATACTTTATTTTGCTTTATTTATTTATTTTTAAATGGCCGTATTGGGTTTCAAACCGTAGTTAAATGGTGTGTTTGAATCACATTATTTTGAAAGAATATATTTTAAAATAATAAATTAATGAAAAATGTGTGATTGAAAAAGAAGGAAAAGTTATTGATGTGACGAAAAATATTATTTTATTGAAAAATGTGTGGTGAAAAATGAGAATGAAAATTTTAATGTGGTTCAAACAGAAGCAAAATATGAAACTTGAATCAAACCAGTTTACAAAAAATTTGCTTGATTGAAGGATACACATGAAACTTGAATTAAACCCTATTTAGATCAAACCATTTCCTCGCATTATTTTGACTCTTTATCCAAATATTTGAATAACTAGAAAATTCTCTAGTTCTATAGTCTAAATATACAAAATGGAGCATGCCTGGACGTGTCGAGGACATACGCCATCGTATGTTAGAACTATCATGGTCGGTCACGCGATGGAGGTACAAAAGGCGTCAAAAATTTAAAAGAATATATGAAAATAGACGGGTTCTCGTGTGTACAGTGTGTTGTGTCGATCCATCCAAGACACAGCCATGCTATATCGGTAGGAGTGTCGTGCTTAATAGATTATCCTTTTGAATTTCTACAGAGCATTTAGAAAATTCACTACATAGCAATCAGATGAATGACATCATAATTCAAAGTAGTATTACATAATTGAAGGAGCCTTAAAAAATTTCCCAGACACAGCAAAACAGAAAAATAAAAACCTCGAGTTGAAGAGATGAAGAAAAAATCTACCTCAGATGCTGATGCAGAAAGAGATCAGTAATACAGGACCAACGGAACATATCAGCTTTTCAAGTTTTCCCAAAGAATCTAGAAAGGGGTAACGGCCCGTCATGCTCTTCATTATCACTCTTTGCCCGCTTCGATTTTGAGAGGTGCTTTTTTCCTTTCCTCCTCTTAGATTTCGATCTCCGTGATTCTCTCTCTTCATCATCACTGCTTGAAGTTTCTGAAATCGAACTTGAAGAGCTAGAATCTGAAGATTTCCTTGAACGCTAAAATTAAGTACCAAAATATAGTTTAGACTCGTAAAAAGAGGAATCCCATTTTTTGTAAATTCTTTTCTCCCTTCCACTTTCTTTATCATTATTCCACGCAAATACAATCTAAATGAGCAAATCAATTAGGGCGGAAAAATATTACTACTACTGGAGAGCTATTGTAACAACATAAAAGTGTCATAATATCTACCCTAAAGTACTTCATGAAAGATACAACGGTCGCAATGTATTTTCCCCTTCAATTTTTTTGTCCACGGACCTGACTGTTTAAAATGTAAACATACCAATTGTTAACGAATAACTAGTAATGACTTTCATGGACAGAGAAGTTTAAGTAACCAGTGTAAGAGAATGATCATAAAATTATCCGAAATAACTTGGCCGTTGTGTACATAAAACAACCAAGATGGTTCAATTTAGACAACATACAAGCATCTCACGCGATGAAGGATAATTCACTTCGGTCTGAGACTCTGAATCGATATTTTGACGTTGCTAAAGCTATACATTTAAGGTAGAAAAACTTATCTTGAATTTTGACAATTTATCGTTAAGGTGTCAGGCACACAATAGACATTAACACTCCATTACCTATCAATAATATTATAGGTTAATAGTTCTCGATTAGTTTGCCACCCCCAATTAGATTGTGGAAAAATTGTGAATCAACTGAACAACCAATATGCATTTAATGAAACAACAAGAACTATGCAACAACCACCAAAATCCTAAGGTAAATTTTACAATTAAATTAAACGTGTATTCTGAAGGTTAAGACTTGAAAAGAAAACGACAAAAGTTAGAAAGTGCCATAGGGGCATCAGAGAAGAAACTAGGAAAGACTATTTAGTAAGATTACTACCTAATGATGTCATATAAACAGATACCCCCACCCCACCCATCCTTTAAATAGGTGTAACTCACTACCAATCCTCCTAATGGAATGATTTTATCTCCATCCAGAATCCCTAGCCTGCAACAATAATTCATTGCAGTATACCCAACTGATTAACGTCACACTGCATTGAATTTAACTACTGTTAAAATCTATTGGATACAAATGTAACAGAAGACTTCTAACTTCCATAACATCGTCATCATATACAAAGTAAATTATTCAATTAAGAAGAACATGGATAGCACCTATACAGAAGAGAAAACTGAGTGTACCTTTCGCTTCTTGTTGCTGTGTTTTCTTGAATCCTTTTCCTTCTTATCTGCAAGAACATATAACAATAAGATAGTATGTCATTGGAGTTAGGAAAAAAAAAAAATTGACCCTAAAAGAATTCAACGCATTACCCTTTTTGCGAGTGGATTTGCTACTCGAGTAGTTTCTTCCTTGGGCAAGCTTACGTGCCCTTTCAGCATCTAGCTGAGCCCTATATTCTCTCATCATTTTATCTTTATCTGCTTCCAACTCCCCCTTTCTCATTTCTTCTTCCTAGCAGTTAAGCACGTTAGAGTTTGACACACACAATCCAAAATAAAATAAATAAAAATCTTTGTCAAACATCACAAACTAAAAAAACTGTCAAATAGGGGAATAGAAATCATAATGACTAAATTCGATAGTGCAGCACATGACGAAGATATGTTAAAATTCTCCCAGTAAGCTGTTTGGAAAGAAAGGCTCCCTCAAAATTTAAAGATTACGTGCACATAATATCTCAATTATCATGCCAAGAACCGTAGACTCTCACTAAGCATGGTAAACAACAGGAAAGGACAAAAACCAAAGGAAGGGATGAGAAATTGCAACTCTTGCCTTATATTGACCATACAGTGAACATCAAGGAATAGGACAAATTCACGAGAGTAGAGGTTCAGAATATAAAATATTAATTTCTTGTAGAAGACGCTTCTTTTGGGCACATATCACTTCCGGTGCATCTTTAGGAGTCATTTATAAAGTTTTTAGGTGAGTTTTTGTCATGGTTAGCGTGACATGCTTCCAGACTTGCCTTGTACATACAAAAATGTAAATAATTAGAATAAATGAGGCAGATTCAATTATTTAAAATCATATATTTTAGTTATGCAAAGGACAAATAAAACTCGTCTAAGTCACATTTCCAAGATAAGAGCTTCATGTCAGAAAGGTCCACCCATGTTTCCTAAAGTAGCACAAGAAGATTAGTTTTGCTGATTCTACGACAAAAATGAATGTCATTGTCTTTTCATTAAATGCTTATCTAGCAATGAATGATAGACAAAGTTGAAGACATGCACCAATGCATTTTCTGGCACAAAGCAGTGCCAAAAAAAGCTCATTTGCAAGGTGGAGGGAGTAACTTTCAGTCTTAAGAAGATTATCAACAGGCAAATGGTTCACTTTGACGCACTTACAAATACATGACGAGCTATAAGAGCTAATTCAGGGAAAGGTATAGCTTGAAGATCTCGTAGGACGTGTTTGAAGGAGCATACAAGCCGGAACAAGAAGTGACCAAATCGTTTTTTATTGTTGGTTGGCAATGGGCTGTCACTACGTTCATGATAAGCATCATTCAAGCTTTAATATCAAGGTAAGGATTCTAATAACAAACATGAAACACAAAAACTTGAACAACACTTGTTGAGTTGTTGTCACTTTAAGGACAAATGTTTTGTATCCAATTTCTTACCTAACAGCTATTAAAAATGTAACTTAAATTCCTCACATCAAAGAGCACTGTCTACATCCAGGACCACTCTTCATTAGACGCAATTTGAAATGATCCAAACTTCCATATCGAGGCCCCCTTTAAAGTTTTGCAAGGAAAAATGAAGCAGCAATACCCTCCAAGGTAAGGTTATAGTACTACTTAATAGGATAGGACAACACTTACCTTTAAATTCTAATTTCTTGTCACTCTAATAATTATTTGTGCTAACCTGTTTGTCCCCCATAAAATTTGCGATAATGGTTCGATATGTCGGGAGTGCTAAGGTGACAAAATTGAGTAAATAAGAACATTTCAGGTAATCCCTCAAATGACTTTCTGGAAGGGCGACAGGTTAAGACTAGTTCCCAATAAAATGGAACTGGGTACCGCTTCCACACTATGTCTAGTTATAGGTTCAATCAAATCGAATCTTCTGCAATGACATCTGATCATGTTAATATGGCCTCTCTTGTGAAATATTCAACTGTGACTGCATCACTATCGTGAATGAGATATGATTTGCCAAGAAAATACAATAAATTATAAGTCTCAAAAAGACATACTAGAACTTCTCTAAAGACAAAGATTAAGGTAAAAAGAAATTCAACAAGCAAAATAGTATAGAGTCGCATAAATCACCTTTTGCTTCTTTTTGTACTCCTCCCAAGTAACCGTATGGGATGTTTTGAGACTTGCCAAACGAGCAGCATGCCATTCTGGTGAATGAAATGAACCGTCCACCTGCGACTGTCCTCATCAGAAGAAGCACAGCAAAAGAATACAAGTCCTCGCTATACTAATAGTTATATAAGACTAAATGCAATTCAACATCAAGTGCAAAGATAAGTTCAATGTCATAAATCCTATGATGCTCGGACTCGGGTACGTATTTAAGTGTCGGGTCTTTTATATTCTGATACGGAGACATGGCTAAAAAAAGTCCAATTCAAACTTCAACTTTTTTACCAATTCAGGATATCATTTTGAATAGACCAAAACAAATTATTCATAATGAAGGAAATAGGCATTTAATAAGGGTTAAGACGAATAAAATAGAATTTTGAGGTTTATTTTTCAATTATGGGAATTATTAGATGTTACATAAAATAGAAAATGAGGACCTTGATTTTAATTTGGACTTAGTGGAGCACTAAGTAGTACTTTATGAAACTCATTTTCATCTTATACAAACAAAACCCTATACTACTGATACACACACACAGAGAGAGAGAGAGAGAGAGCGAGAAAAAAGAAAGATGAAGAAAAAGAAGGTAAAAATCTAGCACCGCCACCTTTCTCCACCCTCTCGGCGATGACGCTAGGTTTATAGAGAGCAAAAGTGGGAAAGAAGAAAAGGGAAAGAAAAGGAAAAAAAAAAGAAAGAAGCAAAAGACGAAGTGCCCGGTTGAAATTTGAAGGATCCGACATATATCCCATACCCATGTCGTGTCGGACATAAAAATGACACCTATCTCATTTTTCTATGCTGATACATATAAAAATCTATGACAAAACTAGTCCTTTCAGTCAAATGTATCATATAAAAAAGAAACTCTAACAAAAGAGCCTAGTAACCCCAAAAGATGAGGTATAGTGTTAATGATAAATGAATGCCAAAAATTGGTCTTTTTGGACCCTATGAGAAATAATAGAAGGGTCCATCTCATTTACATCCTCTCCTTGTAAGACAACAATCAGTTCTGAAATATAAATAAAGTAGTCAGATAGCAGAACAACCTTAAGGTGTGTTTGTTTCCCATTATTGAGAGAAAAATAGAATAATAAATAGTATTTTTTTGAGAATGTGTGGTTGAAATTTAAAATAACTTTATTGGTTTGTGTGTATAATATTTTATTGGGCAAATGTGTGGTGGTGAATCTTACAGTAACAAATAATTTTTAGGAATATTGATAGACAAACAGGGGCTTAAATATTGAAATGAGTCCAGTTTTTACAATGTTCATTAAAGTCGATAATTTTTACTAAGTTTTTCCATATAGTTGAAATTCATATTAAAACCAAACAGATAAATAAATTTTTAATTCAAAATCTTACAAATGTACACATAACCATTGTCAGCTCTCCAACAATGTTCCCTTCATAAATATTGTAGAAGAACAAAGTTTTCAGTGGTGGCACCAGAATTTCAATTTCCTAGGATGCAACAATTAATAAATATGTACAATTCTTTTAACAAAAATCCATCGTTACAGAAATTCCAAATACATAATGAAGAGTGAGCAAACATGCGTGAACTAAAATTGAGCCATAAGTCACTTCTCATTTGAAGTTTTCTATAATCCTTGCTTTGAACAATATTTAATCCTATAAAATCAAATGAGGCTTTAATGAGGCTTTAATTCACGCTTCCCATTGACAGTAATTAAAAAGATTGCTCGTTTATTTGTATTTTCGTTAGATTTCAATAAATTTTTTTTTTTGATAACAGTAGATGTCCAGGCAGCTTGTCCGCATTTCGACTAATTCCACGGCCTGAAATTTACAGTAGAGTACTCACTTCAGTGCACTGAGGAACTTGAACCGGTGAGCATTCGGGAGCAAACACAAGGCCTGACGAATTAGGCAACCCCTCAAGGTTTTCAGTAAATTATGAAACTACTAATCATTTCCATCTACGGCCAGCCCTTCTGGAATAGAAATCTAGTCTTACAAAATTACCCAAAAAAAATTCACAAACCCCAATACGAATTATAATACAAATATTTACAGAAACAATTTTATGAAAGGGTACGAACCATGCCATCTTCGACCTCTTCTGGGCCAGCAGAGCTGGAGCCAAGCCTAGATCTCTGCATCGCTTTGTAAGCTTGATTTTTCCCCATTTTTATCTATTTCCTATTACAAAATTTCGTTTTACTAAAAAAGGAAGGCAAAAACTACATAAGAAAGAAAAAAAGGCAAGATTTATAGGGGAAGAAAGTGGAGGAAACAGAATTTATGAACTATTGCAATTATTTAATTCGAAAAATATTCAAGGATTTGGGAATCGCTAGTGCCGTGAGCGTTTGAGAGAGACCTAGGGCGCGCTTTGGGGTTGAACGAACGAATCACTAGTATTATTGTTGTTAAATAGATAGATAATAGATACTCAAAAATGTTCTAGGCAAAAATTAGAGAATAAGGGTATGTTTGGTAAAAAATTTCATTTTCAACAATAAATCAATTCTCATTTTCAACCACACATTCTTCAATAAAATAATATTTTCTATCACATCAATAATCTTATCTTCTTTCTCAACCACACATTTCCCATCATATCACTATTCAAAATCAATTTTCCCCCCAAAAAATCCCTACCAAACACACACTAAGTATCTCCTATTTCAAAAAAGTAAGAGAACAAGTTTGGAATTTCAAAAATCAGATTTTTATTAAAATTTATTATGATTTAATTATTTATTTAATTAAATAACTAATTAATTATAATGATGTCATAATTATATAATTAATGGTCACAGGTACACAATTAATTGGTCACAGATTATTTTTGAAGTCACAAATCAAAAATTTTATAAGTCGCAAATTATTTCGAATAAAAAATTTTATAAGTCACGAAATTATTTCGAGGTCACAGTTCAGAACGTTTATAGGTCACAGTTTGTTTATCGGTCACAAATCCAAATTTTTGGAAGTCGTGAATTATTTCGCGATCACAAATCAACAATTTTATA